CGTGGGTCACCGGAGTTGACCAGCCATCTGCTCACAGGCACCGCAGCCCCGATTCCAAGCGCAGCTCCCGCCGTTTGTGTGCGTTATCAGACACGTTCGTTCGTTAATGAGGTCTCCCTCCCAAGTCAGGGCTGAGGAGGCAGAGGAGGAAAGGTCTGGGCTGCTGCGGCGAAGGTAGGGCTAAGGACCAGCTGCAGATAAAGGACGCAGATGGAAGGATCCTCACTCTAATCACCGTTCTTCTAAAAATTGCAGGTTTTTTCTAAACCCATTAGGTATGAGATTGCTTCCACTTCACTTAGGAAACAGAAGCGAAATACAGGGTGAAAATGCATCATCAGGTATAAAGCACTGTCCCGTCCGGGGCCGTGGGAGGGGGGTAGGGACGTGGAAGGGGGTAGGATGTGGAAGGGGGTAGGACTTGGGAAGGAGGTAGGACGTGAGAAGGGGGTAGGAAGTGGGAAGGGGGTAGGATGTGGGAAAGGGGTAGGATGTGGGAAAGGGGTAGGATGTGGGAAAGGGGTAGGATGTGGGAAAGGGGTAGGATGTGGGAAAGGGGTAGGATGTGGGAAAGGGGTAGGATGTGGGAAAGGGGTAGGATGTGGGAAAGGGGTAGGATGTGGGAAAGGGGTAGGATGTGGGAAAGGGGTAGGATGTGGGAAAGGGGTAGGATGTGGGAAAGGGGTAGGATGTGGGAAAGGGGTAGGATGTGGGAAAGGGGTAGGATGTGGGAAAGGGGTAGGATGTGGGAAGGGTTAGGATGTGGGAGGGGGTAGGACGGCTCGGTCTCAGGCTGCGCTGCTGCAGGTGTGTGAGCTCAGGCGAGGAGCCTCCCCGGGGGTGGCAGTGGCCCCCTGTGCAATAAAAAACCCACCCTGGGTTCGTATTTTTTCTCTTAAGAGGTAAAACAGAAAACTCAGTTTTAGGGCCTGTGACATACTCAGGCATTGGAAATCACTGCGCAAAACTAAAACTGTGATTCCATTAGTGGTAACATAAGTAATAGAATTTTGGTTTTCTGGCTGTATGTCACTGGGCGCACATCCATCCCCCGCGCCCCCTCGCCCCAGCCCCGCTATCGTTTTCCTTGTGCCTTCCAAAGTTTCCTTCCATTCTCTCCTGACTTAAAGGCATTCTGGCCAGCTAGGCAGAGGACCTGTTTGTAGAGGTAGATTTAGCTTCCTGAAAACCCAATGTCATCCTTCCGGTTTGCTACACGAGGATGAAATGGGGTAATTCTCTGTACAGATTGCTACAGATACCATCTAAAAAAAAAATTTAAAAAAAGCAGCAGCGGGATTTCCTCTAGAAGCCTCCAGCGATCCACGGTCATTGTTTCCCTCAGATTTCCGAGGTCAGATGTGTTGGCCCCCAGGATGGCCAAGCCTGGGTGCTCGGGAGGAGGACTTTTCTCCGCGGTGGGTGGCGGTGGAGGAAGAGGAAGGGCAATGTTGTTCCTCTCAGTCATATTTCTTCTTTCCTGCTAATTTTTCAAAGCTTGGATCTCAGCCTGGCGGCGATGGATCTGCGAGCAGGTTGCTGGTGAAGCCCTTAAAGAGGAATAAATGTATATTTCCTAAGACGTGCCTACTGCTCGCTGGTGGGTTGGGATGCAGTAGCATGGGCTTGCTTTGGGCATACGATGCGTCAAGCGTAGGGTCTGTGTTTATATGCGTTTGTCAATATGATGAAGATGCGGAAGAGCTCAGTAATGCTTTAAGATCCTGACAAGTCCAACTTTGCATTACAGTTGGCAGCTCTTGCTAATTTAATACCGGGGTTATCGGCTAGCCCTGTATTTTCCTGTGTCAGCAGCACCTTCAAAAGTGTCCATAACCATAGATGTGAATTACTCAGTTACACTCCTTCCCTTGGTGGCTCCTTTCACCTCGAGGATGACAGCTTAAATAGCTACTGTGCCTAAATGGTAGGCGCGCCAATGGCTTTGCTTTTATACATTTAAAAAACATGTTTCGTTGAAATGCTCAAAAAACCCCCCAACATTTATGTGCAGGCACAACTGTCCGTAACTGGTGAAAGTTCTTCTCCCTTGGTCGTTGCAGGGATGACGTGCCAAGCCAGGACATCCTACACCGAGGACGAGGTGCTCTGGGGTCATCGTTTCTTCCCCGTTATCTCCTTGGAAGAGGGGTTCTTTAAGGTCGATTACTCCCAGTTCCACGCAACATTTGAGGTCCCCACCCCACCGTACAGCGTGAAGGAGCAGGAGGAGATGCTGCTCATGTCATCTCCCTTGATAGCGCCTGCTGTGAGCAACAGCAAGGAGAGGAATAACTCGGTGGAGTGCCTGGATGGTCTCGACGAAGTCGGCACAAAACTACCCTCCAAACTGCAGAAAATAACCGGGAGGGAAGACTTCCCCAAAAAACTCCTCAGGATGAGTTCCACCACCTCTGAGAAGGCCTACAGCCTGGGGGATTTACCCATGAAACTCCAGCGGATCAGCTCGGTCCCCGGGAACTCGGAGGAGAAACTGGTGTCTAAAACCACAAAGATGATGTCGGATCCCATCAGCCAGTCGGTGGCCGACCTGCCGCCCAAGCTGCAGAAGCTGTCAGGCGGCGGCCGGATGGAAGGGAACCTTCCACCCAAACTGCGAAAAATGAATTCGGATCGGTTTACATAACCCGACCGGGACTTCCAGCTATCGTTTAGAGCTTGAACTGCTACGGGCAAGGGCAGCGCGGGCAGGAGAGCAGGCCCTCCACCGGCCGCACGCGTGCTAGCCCCCCCCGGTCCGCGGTGCGCCGGGCGGCGGGGGCGTCCCCTCGGCAGCGGTGGCTGCGCTGTAAGTACGAACGACGGGACGATGGGCGAGCTGACCGCCATTGGCATGTAGTATCACAACACGCATGCAATAATAGTGTGCAATTTTTGCATATAGTTTTATGGCATGACTCCTACTATATTTATACTGTATATGCTGAAAAAATACGGAAAGGGGCGTTCCTTTCCCCGGTATTTCTTAAGAGTAGTAGGTAAAACATGCGAGTGGGTAACTTTCGGGGTAAGTTATACTTTGATTTGAAAATGCTTTGGGTTTTGGGTTGTTTTGTTTTTTTTTTTCCTGATGTGGATCGTGATGTTTTGTTCAACACAGTAGTTATGGTGCATGTCTCTTCTCTTAAAAGAAGGTGTATTAGTTCACTCCTAACACTAACTCTGCTAGCCTTAAATTAACTGCTGGTTTCTATTTTGCTTTAACAATTTCTTGGGGTTTCCTTTCTGTGTCTAGGCTACTGGAAATAAAAAAAAATTAAAATGTATTTCATAAGGCATCATTTAGAGAAGAAACTTGTATCAATAAGCCTAGGCGAACCAGGAAATAAATTAATAAAATTCAGACTTTAGATACGATTAGTAAAAATGTTTTTTAAATCTTCGTGATTTATAATATATGTGCAAGAAAACCATTTTAAATAAGCGGGACGTGCTCGATTTCTCATGTTGGTAGAATAGCTGGACATGAAAATAGCTGAATGTCTCCATGAAGCCAAGCAGGCATTTATTCTGGACGAACTGCACCCCAAGGCAGAGTCGCAATTCCCCTTAATTCCGCAGTGCCCGGATTTCGCTCCCTCTGGCTTTGGTGGCCCAGCTGGGGCAGTAGCGATGGAGGCGACGGTTGTGTGAGCCGCGGTCTCGCAGCCGGAGCTGTGCGGAGTGGTGGCAAGTCCCAAGCCCGGGTGGGCACGGGGCTCCCCGGCCGCTGGCTGCGCCGCCGGCGGGCTCGCCCCCTACTGCCTTCTCTTTTTCCTCTTCCATCTTGTTTTGCTCGGGTGGGGTCGAGCCAGGAGGGCTGGGTGTTGGGCAGGTGCTCCCATCACCATGGCTTGAGGTGCTGGAGCACCGCCGTGCCACCCCGCACCCTCCCCAAAATGCCGGAGGTCAGCTGTTGCGGTGCCCAGGGACACCCGTGGTCTGCGGTCTGTGTTTGGGGGCTGGGTCACGATGGCTTCCCGGGGGCTCCTTCTTGGCAGAGGAGGTCTGGGCGCCATGGAGTGATGGGTGGCACCATTGGAGAGATGGGTACGGATGCCCCCGCCAGCAGCGGCCAGGAAAAGGGCTCTGCCCGACATCATCTGTGTGTAAAAACCTCAGGACCATGTCCGGGTGGTCCCAGACACCGTCACACGTGGGCCAGGAGGTGCACACGTAGCTGCAGTCATGGACAGGCACAACTGACGCGCGGGCTCAGGACCATCCTGCACGAATGCTGGCGTGTGCTACCTAACTAATAACAACAGATCCGATGATCTTTGAGGAAAAAAAAATTGGTTTTGCTTTAAAGCGCCGATCTCGCAGCCGGAGCTGTGCGGAGTGGTGGCAAGTCCCAAGCCCGGGTGGGCACGGGGCTCCCCGGCCGCTGGCTGCGCCGCCGGCGGCATCGCCCCTTACTGCTTTCTCTATGGTGAAAACAATGTTTAAACATGTTCTTAACTGAAGTTGACCCTGTGGGTTTCAAAATGAGTAATACTTTGTATAAATGTTTGGTTTGATATCATTCTGTGCTTGTGTTTGGGTTTCCTCTTCCATCTTGTTTTGCTCCGGTGGGGTCGAGCCAGGAGGGCTGGGTGTTGGGCAGGTGCTCCCATCACCATGGCTTGAGGTGCTGGAGCACCGCCGTGCCACCCCGCACCCTCCCCAAAATGCCGGAGGGCAGCTGTTGCGGGGCCCCGGGGCACCCGGGGTCTG